TCCATATCCCTTGAGTCGTCCACGAATGTCGATATCGTCCAAAATATGTAAATTATGATAGCTTATAACCTTCATTTGGTCGTATTGAAAGAAACACTCTTAAACACTTTTAGTGTACTGTTCTTGAACGCTTTAGAACAGGGAACAGCTTAAAAACCCTGAAAAGTTTAAGAGAACTGGTCTTATTCATTAGAACAAGCTTCATTATATATAACACACATGCTTCTCAATTGAATGCAATTAGAGAACACCTCAGAGATCTTATACTTAATATTTTTAAAATAATATATACTCCGAAAACAAATTGGTTAACAAATTTTCTTTTCATATAAACAGGCGAGTTTTTCCACATCCTTTTGTACGCCGCAAGGGGTAAGTATTTATTTATGATTTATTTATTTAAGATATTTATTTTTATATATAGCTTAAATATTATTTTTATATAATTATTTATATTAAAAATATGTGAAGAGTCATCTTCACACATATACGATCAAAGTATCAATATAAGTATCGCGCATATCTAAAGAAAAATGTAAATAGTTTGCATAATAGCTTAAGATATTATTTTATAGATATTTTTTTATTAAATAAAGGGGCAAAGCAACTATTTAGTAATAAATTGTTTTCAAAAGCTTATACGTAATATATCTAATAACTTGAAAAATGGTTTTCTAAATAAATGTTTTTATTCCACAAAACACCAAAACGTAAACATGAGTTATGCCTTTCTAAAAAGAGTATATATCGTATAATACTAAAAGATCGCAGTCTGAAAATACCAATAAATTAATACATTCAGTTCAACTACTTAGAAAATAATTCTTTCAACATACAACTGACTGTTTGGCGTTACTTTAGTACTTTAGTATATTCTGGAAATGAAATATAGAGTATTCTGATGCTATTACTTCAAATAAAATATTTAAAAATACAAACTTTTTGAAAACATATAAAGAGCGGAATAATAATATAATAATTCTTTTTATAGGGTAACCGATTGTGTCCTGGAACGCCTACAGTGCAAGAGGTAAGTATCGGTATAAATATCACCAAATTTATATATTTAAAAGCATATATAAAAAAATTTTATTGATCAAGTACATTCTATCATAATGTATAAATCTTAATGATTATATATTTTTTTAAATATATTATACACGAAAAATAATATGTATATACATAATATATACATAATACTTATTATAACGTCCAACAGGTATTTAAAAATAATTCATGTATTAAAACCTATTTAAACATGTTAGACACTCTACATAAGTTAGAACTAGGTTAAGTTTGTTTTTCATTATTATTTTATCTATTTTTATGATTAAGAGCTAACCACTAGAGAATATTATACTAAAAAAGAAGCGAACTTAGAACAGTCTTGGAATTCCTCAAAATTATTAATAAACCATTTTATATTGTAAGTTATTTTGTTCATATATTCCATATAATTTTAATTTATAAAATTCAAGATACTGCTTTTTAATCCAATAAATTTTAATAGACTACTATATATAAATAATAGACTACCTATGTTACTTAAGAAAAATATATGTTGAACAAAAAGTATTAGTGTATGTGATCTATATGTAATAGCGATATAAATATTATTGCAATTCAATTATTGATTTGCTCATATTCAATATTAATATAAAAAATTACTTGTATATATGCAAAACTCAAGGAACTAAATATTACTTTTTTTACTTTAAACAGTGTAGTCCTAGGACTCCAGAAAATACGGGACGACCGGCAAGTATAGAAATGTTTAACAAATAGAATAGAAATGTTTAATATACATATATATATTTTTATATATTTATATGTTATATGTATTCATTGAATATAATATATATATTATAAAAATCAACGGCAATATCTGCTAAATTTTATTTTGTTTCGTTAAATCAAACAAAAATGATAGATTGAATGCTGAAGCTTGGTAGTTACAGTCCAACAAATTATATACAGACTATAAACTAAATAAATAAAAATTCGAATATTTTTAAAATCAATGATGATCATCACTGGGCAATACTTGAAATAATGTTGTGTAGTCAACCAAATTTTTGAACAACTTTAACGTCCAAAAAATAATTTCCTTACATTGGCAAATTAGTTAACGCTAATTTTGTTTAGAGTGTGTAATGATAACGAATATCGGCAAGTTGACATTTGGCAGTAACATTATTTTCTGTGTAACAAGTTATCGAAATGTACACATCAAAGAAATCACACAATTTTGTATTGACAAGCAAAACATGTTCTTACTTCCGGCGCAGTAGCTCCAAATGTCATGAAATATTGACAGAATACCAGTAATTGCGAAAAAAGTCTTTTTTACTTTATAACAGATCTTGGGTATCGCGAAAGTTTTTATATAATACCGAATTATGTATATGGCCTATAATAATAATGACATTATAAAATGATAAAATAAAAAACCTTTTTAATAATGCAAGTGTTTGAAAACATTTGGATACTAATACTACTAACGATAGTAGTTGTTTAATACTAACGATATTTTTTTTTGTTTTTAAATAGGTTGATAAAATATTTACTAGCACTCCCGTACCACAGTCCAGGGAGGTAAGTATTGAAATGAGTACCATCAAATGTGTAAACATATTCATCCTTGTTTTTATGAATTAGTAAAAATTTTAGTTCAAACATATGTATAAATGTGATATTATATATGGTATATTAATCGTATATATTAAGAGAAAATTTTAATAAAATGTAACATAAATTTTATATTCTCATATCAATTTAAATTAACAATATATTAGCAATAATATAAAAACTAGATAGATTTTATAATTTAAAAATTTTCGCACTGCAAGAAATTTATATATTATAATATAAATTATAATATAATTGTAATATAATTATAATATTATTGTATATATAATACACATAAAAATTATGCTTAAAAAATATTCATTTATCATATAAATACAATTGATTTTAGAAATCCATAGACTTTATTCATTTACATATTCTATAGCAAAATTATTTCAACACATCTCTTCTGTTGCATAATGTACTAAGAACTTTAAAGTAGTGCTCAAACCTCTTTCCCATGGGCCACCTATTGCAGTTTATAAGCGGATGCTAGTCTAAAGGTCACAAATAATTAGCTGTGGAAGCAGTTCGAAACATTTATTTGATTTATATCATTCAATCCAGATAGACATAATTTTTTTCTAATATATTTTACAACTGATTACTTTTCTGGTCACTTTTATTGATCTTTGCTGGTTCTTTTTAACTCAGAACTAGAAATATGCCTTCGTAATATGCTTAGCCATGATTGGTTTATAAATATATATCATATTTGGAGTTTCCTCTCATTATGCTTTATGTGTGTATATTGCGTTTAAAGTCATCAACTTATAATATAGTTGTATATTTATATATATAATATTAAATATATAAATTTATCTATATACATATATTCTATATATAATCTATAATCTATATATATAATTTTATACTCAAAAAGTTGATGCTATTATTCAAATATGGTCCACACTTTCTTTTGATATTTATATTTTTGATTTAGCAATCTTGTTAATAATTAGATATACATCAACTAGTCCAAAGGAACAACTTAATGTAATTAAGAAAAAATATAAAGATATAAGTAATTTCTTTATCAAATGCTACCCTTGTCTAAAAGTAATATATACTACATATTACGATAATAATAGTTATTAGTTAAGAATAATTGTTTTTATTTAAATATAATAATTGTTATTGTTAATAATATAAATTATCAGTAATTGTTTATAAATATAACATATTTTGAAAATAATTAATATTAATTATTAATTATTATTAATTTTAATTATTAATTATTATTAATATTAATTATTAATATGCATTAATAATAATTATTAATATTTATTAATAATAATTATTAATACTTAAAGAAATAAATTGTATTAATTATTATAAATGAATAATTTTAATTGTTATTAATAAACAATATTGATTGTTTGTAATTTGTAGTAAAAATTTTCGAGAATTAATAATATTAAGTTTTATTAATTTGGGATTATTATTGGTATTAATTGATAATATTATTTGTTATTAATAAGTATTATTATAAATTGCTACTAATAATTGTTATTAATTGTATTTACTATCAATTTACTATCAATTTTAAATTTTATAGAATAGACTACAAATTTGTGCAAAAAATAATATATAAACTTCAGTTATATTAATTACGAAATATTTGTTATATGCTCTTAAGAATTTATTTATTAATATTTTCTCTTAAGGGCACTCCTTCAAATCCTTCAACTCCAACATGTCCAAATGTATCGAGGGTAAGTTTATTTTAAATTTAAATATTTTCGTTCAAAAATTATAATAAAAGATTATTTAATGTTATGTAATAATTATTTATATATTGACTACTAAGTTATCAGAAAAAACAATATATAAACAAAAGCTTTTATTTTTTATTTTAAAGGAATTTTTCGCACCTCAGAGAGCACGTGCGAGTACACTTGATTGCAGTGTAATACCTGTAAGTATATTTCCTAGTTTTCCACCAATTAATTTGAAAATATATCAAAATAGTTTATACAATTATATAAAATATATATTAATATTTTCTTTAGCGGATAACTGGTAGAAACATAGAATTAAATTTCGTAAGTAAATCAAAATTATTTGAGTAAAATATATTTTAAGTTTTTTTAATATTTCAAAATCAATTTTCTTAGATAATATAAGTGTCTTTTGATATATAAATTCTTTCAAGAAAAATTTTTTTACATAGATAGAAAATTATGCTAGTTTAGGAACTAAATAGGTGTAAAAACTTGAAGTTCTTCTTATTCGTTATAATATGATATTTAGCTTAGCCGTTGCAGAGCACAGAGTGCAATAAAGGGAATAATACCTCTGTAATATAATGATTTCTCTTTGGCCTTAAAATACGCTTCAGTATAGGTGACGAGTTTTTCATCGGTATCAAATCTCCTTCCCCTATAGCAGTTTTATAGATCTGTGAAAAGGTATAATTTACAAAGAGCAAATCAAGCAAATACGATGGATCTGGAAGCAATCTCTTTACTTAAAACGATCATACAGATATCAGGCTTTATAATATTTTTTGCCAAAATCATACACCCGATCGCATATCATATACATACATCATATCGCATAATATACTATTAATTTTAATACGATCAGCTTTCAGTAAAATATTCTGAAACAGATCTGTAACCACAGACTAGGCAATAGCCGTCAATTAAATACATATTTTTATTAAGGGTACAAGATTATATACATTTAAGTTGTATAAGTAACTTTTAAATAAAATATGAATCATATAATAACAAGAATTCGCAACTTAACTTAACTCAATCGACAAAAAAGGTGGTTCTGTAAACTACGCGATCAGTCTTTTGAATACATAATTTGATTCAATGAAGGGTGATATTTGACGAACGTTCAATGATTATAGTATTTCTCAGTTGTTAATAGAGAAAATAAAAATTAGACAACTAATGATTTGTTATATATATATATTAAGAACACGCTTTTTATTGTGACCATATGTTCAAAATATCATTCAAGATAATTTGATATACAGAAATGATTTGATCAACAATAAAATTTTATGATTATCTCTGATAGATTTTGTAAGGAAATAACCTCACATAGATTCTTACTACTATCAATATTACAATATGGCTTAAAATACAAATCAACGTATCTAACTACTTTTATTTTAATAGCAATAAAATATATATTTTTTTCTCACTTTGCAGGAACTACCTCCTCGCCAAACCGGAAATGTAAGTTATTTACAAAAATTGTTCTGCACATATAAATAAGCGTATTTTAGATATATTTTCAATAAATAATTTCTTTCTTTTTGCTTTGAGCTAAAACTATAAGTGTTTCCCTAAAATATTCCTCATATAATATTTTTAATGTAAATTCATTTTACGACTTTAGCGGGACGCTCCATGTCCAAGGACATCAGCATCACAGCTACGGCATGTTATGCGAGTAAGTTGTAGTAAATCATATTTAAGTAATTTGAATATCATATATATCACATATTTCTCTACATTTTTAGATGCAGAGAGCTCGAAATATGCGTGAAAATAGTTGTCAACGCGTAAGTACAATTACTTTATCATTCTCACAAAACTGCAATTAAAATCACAAATACTAAAATAATACTGAATATAACAATTGATATCATTTCTAAGTGGTCTAAGTGCAAACTTCATTTTTAAGTAGACAAGTGCAATACCATCGTCATATTTCACAATTGTCGGTTTATTACTTTAATTCAATTTGAAAACTCAATCTTACTTGTAGAAGTCCATGAAAAGATTATTTGTGGAACCCTGCCAGTAACTTCATATTCTTTCCTGTAATATTGCAATTTCAAATCAATCTGGTACCCTTATGAATTTTATTCGATCAAATATTTTCACTACCTATACAGATATTAGAATAAAGGTTATAATATCATCATATTTCTGCTCACCTAGTTTTTTCTGTGCTTTGGACAAGTGGTTTGTGCTGATTTCGGCTCTTTTACTTTTTTGTATTATGGGTATTTTATAGCAGAATCCAAATCCTCATCGTCCATACAACTATGCATTTGCTTAAAGTTATGATTTCTGCTCCGTGATTTCTGATTTTTGAGATCTCATATGCAAAAATGTACTTGCTCATTGAAAGTTGTACGTTGACTCGCTTTTTGTAGGTTTTTTATGCCCCTTTGTGCAGGCTCTGTTCATATCGGCTATGTTACTAGATCATTAATAAGCAGTTTTTATTTGCACTTGCAATATCCAAACCCCTTTAATACTTTATCTAATCACACAATCAAATATTAGTGTTGAGAACAATCGCAGAAGAAAGAAAGACAGAATAGGATTCGTCAAAATAAAACCACAAACAACAATTTAAAATAATAAACAGAAAAAGTAATACTAAATTTTTTTTATATAGGGATCTCAGGGATCTCAAAGTATGTCTGTTGGGCCACGTCAATCTCAGTCGCAATTCTTAGCAGTGCCACGTCCCCCGGTAAGTAGTATTATATATCTATATACAAATACTGTTAACAACAATAGTATTTCTAACTAAATATTACAAAGCAATTAATGTCATTAATATGTGCAGTTAATAGTTACTCTCGCAGTTAATAGAGAGTAAAAGTACTCAGGTGCACGGTTGCCACTTGAAAATTTTTTTCTGTACCAAAATTGGGTTAAAAAGGTACCATTTCTGTAAAAAAAGGTCCAAAATATTTCTATTGTCTTTTTATAAGAAAATACAATTTATATAAAATGTACAAAGTATAAAACAATACAATATCCACAATAAAGTTGGGTCGCCGAAATTGTACCATTTTTTGAACATGAGTACCAGAGTATCAAACGGAAAAAAAAGTACCAATTTTGGTACTAAAGTACCATAAGTGGCAACCGTGCTCAGGTGCACTGACTCATATCAACTAGCCTCAACTAGCCTCAACATGTGCTGTGAGAGTTTTGCGATCAGTAAAAATTTTTCTCAGCAATTGAATACCTGCAGTTTTCAGAGTTGATGGGTTTGTATAACCAACCTTCATCATTTTTCAAAATAGTGCCTCCAGACCAGTACCTCATACTACGCACTGACTTACTGTGGATACAATGGTGTATTGCCAGTTATTTGTAGATTTGCAGTATGCATGATGCAACAATTTTGTTTGTTGTCGTATCCACATGAACCCCATCACTGAAGAAAATTTCTACAAAATCGTTCAGAGATTGTTAAACGATACAGATTGCAAGATGGTAAATCTGTCCCTAAAGATATGATAGTTTGGATGATAATGTTGTCAAATCAGAACTATAAAATGGATAACTCATTGTATATCACAATTGATTGCATACACTATTATACTCATTTAGAAGTTCTAATGTTGAATAACAAGTAAAAATCTCTGGATTCAGTTGTTTGTTGTGATTGTTTAACTACATAGACTCTTTGGAGGTTGCTATTATATAATTAATCACACCTCAAAACTAATGCTAATCAATTATATTATATTCGAAGAAACTTCTAACTGAAATTACCACTTACTTATTCTAAAACAAACATCAATGTAGCGAGTTGTTGTTTGTTTCCAAAGGCATCCATTGGTATTTTTAAGGACAGCTTAACTTCATTACAATATGTTTAAATAAAAGTTTTTTAAAATTGACTAATAGAAACAAATTCTGATCATTTGCCTAATGTTATAATTTAATTATTTTTAATTTGAATTAATTTTCTCACTTTTTTTTCAATTACAGCGCCGCAGATGGGGCATTCCTATACGAGAAAATCAGAACTGCGTAAGCAATTAATATTTTGTATAAAAATTCATATTATAGTACTGTACATTACATATAACACTAGTAAAATTAAACTAAATATTAGTAATTCATTAATTATAAGCATATTAAAGCCATGTTACTATTGTAAAAATATCAGCATCTTCATGATTTTTTCTTAAAGATGTGAATATTTATTTATTTTAAAATAGGATGGACCATCATGGATTAACACTTTGCCTATAGTAGAAGAGGTACGTACTAAAATAATATACATACATATAAATATTTTTCTGTGTAAAAAAACGTTTGATCAAAGTTGCTAGGATGCTGCGCAAAATTTGGAATTAAATACATAAATGAATTTAATAAAAATTGTAATAGGCATATATACAGTACATATGATTACTTTCATAGTTTAAATACTAAGTATATACTTAGTGTACAAACTTTAAGAAGTTGGGGTTATTTAGTTTTTTTTTAATTCATTTCTAAACAGAATAGAAAGGTATAAGAAATAAAATACATTTGTGCCGCTTCTAAATCAGCTACTTTTAATTCAGGAATTCTCCTGATGAAGGCAGAAGCGAATTTTCCGAAATACGTATAGAAATATAATAGAAATTGACGCTGGAAATAAAAATTAATATTCTTAAGAAAACAAAGCCGACTTTAAGGTCATATATGTTAACTTAAAGATATACCATTTTTTTAACTAAACATAGAGTTATAAAAATTAGTATCGTTCACATAGTAAACTGATAAAAGAATATTATCAGTAAAAAACCTGGTGAATATTTTTGTGGAGTGTATACAAAATATATAACCTAATTTGAGAGTTACTGAAATGAATAAGCATATTGAATAAATATAAATACATACTTTTACATAGTCTTAATAGCCATATCCTATTTTTAATCGAACTTTTATAGATCCAAGGCAACAGAATTATTTATTTTCTATTAAATTGCGTTCGAATATATTTTATTTTTTATTTTTGAATTATTACATCGAATTTTTTTTTTTATAATTTCAACTTTTATTTCGAAAGTTTATTTTAGTATTTGTTTGTATACTCGTATATTCTAATTTCTAGGAATAATTTATTTCAAATTATTTTAATTTAATTATTAAATACTTTCATACGCATAACTTAAAAAATATTGACAATATAATTTTCCATCTTAGGTTCAACATAATCAGACTACGGATGTAAGTTGAATAATTTATTAATCATGAGTTTTTTATAAGTAATACTTTGTATTACTTGTTGATTTCAATAATCAACAAGTAAGAAAACTAATAGTTATATATCATAATTTCGTTTTTCTTGTTTTTTGAAATTAGTGTTGTCCTGAAAGAGAAGAGGTGAGTGTTTTGAATTAATTTCTTATATTTATTGACATAACTTTTTGTTAACAAAATGTTCATTATATAAAGGCATATGTAAGACATTTTATTGAAAATAGTTTTTTTTTTTAAGTCAAAAAAATAGTTTTTATATAAATAAATACTATACATACAAATTTAAATATTAAAACAAAAAAACTATTTCTAAGAATAGAGTTCATTTACGCCTCAATTTAATAAACACAAAAAAAAAAAATATTCATTATATTATAAAAAAGATTTGTTTCCATTATTTTCAATTCTAAAACCCAAATCAGTTTTTATTAAGTATTAAGGTTGTATCACAATACTTGATTTACACCTCTCACTCAATTTTTATAAGCATAAAGTACTAACCGTTTATCATATACATCGAACTGTGACCAAAACGACCGGAAAAAATATTCAAAATATATTATCCTAATTAAATAAACACAAAACTGCACTTAAGTAATAGTTACTTTCATAACAATCCATAAAACATTTACTTTCATAACAATCCATCATTCTCCTGCCATGAGTCCATCATTATTTATACATTAAGACTGAAAAGTTTTCGGAAATTCTCATTTAAAATTCGCGCGCTGTATATTTTTCGATATTTTAAGTTTATGTAGTTTGGCAGCACTGTCCTTAATTACTATGCCAAAAATGAGCGCGATCTGTCAGACAGTTCGTTTACGGCAGCTGTTGAAACCAGTTCCCCTCAGTAGTGCGTTGCGAAATGTCTTCGACGGTCGTACGACCGTCCTGAAAGGCTTTGTACCACTCATAAACTTGAGTTTTCGATAAAACTGATTCCCCATAAGCCTTTTGTAGCATTCGCAACGATTCTGCACACGAAATTTCGTTCGAAACACAAAATTTGATGCAAACTCTTTGTCCAATATTTTTTTCCATTGTTTTTTTCGCAACGCACTACTGAGGTGAACTGGTTTCAACAGCTGCCGTAAACGAACTGTCTGACAGATCGCGCTCATTTTTGGCATAGTAATTAAGGACAGTGCTGCCAAACTACATAAACTTAAAATATCGAAAAATATACAGCGCGCGAATTTTAAATGAGAATTTCCGAAAACTTTTCGGTCTTAATGTACTTATCTGATATACTGTTTAGTCAATAATAACCATTAAACCAATTTCTTCTGTACTGGAAGACCATATGACAATTGCTTTTAACATTGTTATTCGGCAAATATCCCAGCGAAATACATTAACAATAAGCAATGGAACACCGTAGTACAGTAGAGATTACCAAATTCATAAAGATCTTTAAGTACTTTGGCATTTCACAAAATTTGACCAAAATACTTTCGACAATTTTATTTCCAACTTCTTAACTAAAACACTTACTTCGACTAGAGACTTAAACTGATCAGACCACCCCGTCATAAGTCAAACTTAAACTTTAGTTATCATTAGAACCCTTACTACTCTTTCTCTTTGCTCTTTCTCTTTTATCATGCAAGAACATTTCATCTTTAAACTATTTATTACTCTCTGTTATTTTCAGTCCAATTATAAATAGTAATGCCAAATATGGAATCGATGATCATTTCATTGTCTACATAACATAGCTTCTACGGTGTTTTCGGCACTTATACTTTCTGCAGCCGGTATGCCTTGTGCATGGCTGATCTAGCGAGTGATATTTGGGGAAAAACTTTCTCCAAAATTAAATTAAAATTATAAAAAATTTAATTTTAATAATTAATTTATTAATAAATTATAAAATTATCATGCTTTTGTAGTCAATATATACATTCCAATGTTGAAATTAGTGTATACTTTTGCATATGTTTAAGATTTATATAAATTACATATAACATAATATCATGCATTTTACACAAAATATAAAATTGAAGAAAAATTTTATTGTAATTTTAATAAAATAAAATTAATGATTTTAAAAAATTATATTTAAGGAAAAAATACGGGTATTACTTATGTTATTGGCACTATACATTACTATTTCATATTACTTTCCAACTACCATATATCATTTTAACAGTAGTTTTTCTAACAAAGATGATCGGAAAACGATAACTTTCTAACTCTAGTTATTATTAGGAAAACTATTGCAAAAATAATAACTAATAACTAAATAATAATTAACAATATTATGTATAAATAATTTTGTTTTATGTATTTCTTTATTAATTAATTTATGTTTTCAATATTTTAGATGTTTGACTCTTGCTAGGGTAATACGAGACGTCAATCAATTATCCATTGATTGATGACTTATATGAATCGGTAATGAATACTATATATTTGAAAAAGAGTTGGTCATTGGAACGGAGGGTTCACGCAATGAATAGAATTCCGAAACGAATTTCTTTAGATGACACTAAAATCAAATAGTATGTATACCATGTTATGACGTCATTTCAAAAATTATCTTAATTTATATTTTTTTGTTTTTTCAGGGGATGCGAATGGATTAACAGATTACTTTCATACTTAAGGAAATGGAATACTGATATTTTTGAAAACGTTTTATTTATTAATATATTTCATAAAAATACTTATATATACAAACTCAATAAAATATAAACAAAAACTATTTAAATTTTTTTTTATTTGCTTAATAAGTTTCAAGATTTGCAAAGTAAGGGTGTTTTATATTTGTGACAATTATCTGCTATTGAAAAAATTCATATATATATATCAATTAATTTTTTTGAAAATTTTTAAAGATAGTTTATTGAATAAAAATTTTTTAAATATGACACTGATATTTCTTTGCTGATACTATTATTAGATAATTTTTAACAAATTATCATGAAAATATCAAAGTAATTGTGATTACTTAAGTTATTGTAATTAAATAATTATTGAAATAAAAATGTTTGCAGACCCATTCACCATTATAAGCTATTAAAAGCCATCAATAAGCTAGTAGTATATTTTCCAGAGCTTATTTAGTAAGTGCAAAATATTCAGTGTGTTTTAACATACTTAAAAATAAAGTATGGAATATTAGACCAAAAACCCTTATAAATAAATTTCCCATAAGAGAAATGTAAGCGTCGAAACTAAAACCAGAATATTCAACGCCTGCGTCAAATCGACATTATATGGGTGCAAAACATGGTCGCTAACGAGGGTCTCAGCGTATTCTGAACATATGGTGGCCTGCAAGAGTCTCCAACGAAGAGCTATGGCAGCGTACCAAGCAAAAGCCAATAGAGAAAGAAATTTTAAGACGCAAATATGGCTGGCTTGGCCACACACTTAGAAAACCGACAGATGCAATTGCCCACGCAGTCATAGAATCGAACCCGCAAGAAGTAAGGAGACGAGGTCGTCCCAAAACCACCTGGCGAAGAACAGTGGTAGCAGAAACAGGCAAATCCTTTAACCAGTTACGTTTTACTGCCAGAAACAGAGAGGAATGGAAGAAGTTTATAAATATTATTTGTGAATAGACTTAGTTCTAATTTTTAAATTTTTAATTTAATTTTTATAATGAAGAACATGTCTTAATAATAATAATAATAAAAGAAATTTCCAAAATTTGAAACATTTATCATATTATTTTATATGTAAAATGTAAACAAACAACAGCTGAGCTATAAACAAACGCACTAAGGAAGTATTTAATAAAAGCTTTGTTTTATGTAATGGATATATAAAATATACATATATAATACATATATAAAATATACATATATAATTTTTTGTGTGATATGTTATGAATTAAAGTTTATTTAAACAAACAAAAGCTGTCTTAGAACTTTCAAGAACTTTCTGACACATAAAAACTCTTTCACATCCAATAAGTAACTAACTATCAATAACTATCAATATGTTAGAGACGACAAAATCTTAAGCTACTCAAGTAACTAACTAACAAGCAGTGGAAACTTGTTCAGCATATCTCGAAAAACACATTATTTGATAATGGTAATGATCACATCAATGGCATTATTCAATCATACTTCCTCAAAAAGAAATGCAAATGTAGATCGTTCACAAAAATAAATGACTAAATTAAAAGTACGATGCAAATATAACGATATAGAATTTCCAAAGAGTCATAATCCTTTTGGTTTGATAAATTACTAATATATTGAATATAAAATCTTTAAATCAATGGGTCATGAAGTTTAAAATGTCCAATATAGGTTTAAATTTATATATTAGATTATAAAATCCACGCTTATTAATAAATTTTTAGCTTCGCGAGAAGTTAAAATTATAATATAAGACAGAAATATTGGTGGAATAAAATTTTTTTATTATAATCATATAGATAATTTCATGGCATTTTGACCGCCGAGGCTACGAGTTACATGATCCATGCGATCTGTCCAATTTTTAACAATTTTTTTCAACAAATATGGCTGCATAGCGTCAATGGTGGCATAAACATTGGCTTCCAATGCTTCAAGAATTGCTGGTTTGTCGGTTGTCGTAATCGAGAGACATTAAATCGCTCGAACAAGAAGGCCAGTTAACAGGACCACTTTCGGAAATAAAGTTGTTACCCAATTGAATTGCAATATATAGATTGTTAAACGCGCTAAATATCATTGATGTTTAACTGATTATTTTTGAGAAATTGCTGACAAAAACTCAGTTAGCAAAGCTCGAAAGCGCTAGGTATTTAGCAAACAGATGTTTAACTGATTAGTTTTGAAATTGCTGACAAAAACTCAGGAAAGCTTGAAAACACTAGGTATTTAGCAAACAGTCAACTGTTAATAGTTTAAAATCGGGAAGAGTAAAATTAGTGCGCAAACGATCAATAACTGCCCGAATTAGTTGATGGCCGATTATCTTGACCGTAAAATGGACAAGTTTCTCTATGAACTTCACGAAGAGAATTATGTTTTTCAAAGTAAATTTCCACAATTTGCAAGCGTTGCTCTAGCGTTAAATGATTCATAATAAAATGCCAAATCAGTTTGACATTCTCAGCTATCAAACCATAGTTATCGCTATCGATAGTTCGCATACAGCTAAAAAAAACACTCGATAGATGTGCCAGAGCTTAATTTCGTACATCAGACATTTCTATTCTGGCAGAATAGTCTGTTGCATCGCTACTGAGATTAAATTTTAGTCAAAATTTAAAATTGAGTTTTGTTAAGAAAAGCTGGCTTACACTGCATACAAGGCAACTGGTACGGTTGTAATATAAATCTTCATCAAAGGCGTTTATGATTTAATTAACAATGTCTAATCAGCGAATGTATGCTTTTCCAGGATCATATCATCCCCAACGAAATCTGCCGCTATATATCTTAAACGAGTTACCGGTCTAAGGTATATTTTTTAATTCTAAAGTTTTAGCACAACGATTATTAACACTTATAGCATAAATGAAGTATAAAAAAGTGTTTTTGGGGCCAATTTTTCAATATATATTTAAGTCTCGATTTAAGACAAAAGTGAGTTCTTCTTTTAATTGAAATGATCATATTAGTGTGCAATATCCAACACTAAAGGTCAGCCCTATTGTACGGATGTGTAACTTATAGCAAAGCCTTAAAAACTGCCATAAATTGCAATAAAGCAATTACAGATAGCACAAAATCTGGCTTTAAGAATACTAATTAAGATTCCTTGGTATATTAGAACAACAGACAAACATAGAGATCTAAAAATCGACTCAGTGAAAAAATATATCAAGAACAAAGCCCTAAAATTATTCACAAAAGTTGATACGTTGTCCTAAGCCGCTCTAACAAACCTTAAGTCCACCTCAGGACGCACAGGAAGATATACTGATCTACGGTCCGTCATCAGTTAGAAGATAAATAAATAATAATGATTCTAGTATAGTTAAAGTTTAGTGTGGGGCAGGGCTAAGCCCCCAGCCACTAAAGAGTGAAAATGCGCAATAGCACTAACTCAAATCACAGCAACAACAACGACTAAAGGATTATACATTGTGACCGAAAAGTTTTCGGAAATTCTCATTTAAAATTCGCGCGCTGTATATTTTTCGATATTTTAAGTTTATGTAGTTTGGCAGC